GCTTTTTTTGATGCTGCAAGAACCCCCCCCCCCCTTATTCATGTGTAAGGACAACAGAAAGTGGCTCACTCCTTCCAGCAGCACTGTCTGTCAGTCCTACAATGGCCCTTGCTCCTGTAGTCAAAGCTCCTGCATACACAGCCACCTCTGCTCCCTCTGTGGCAGTTTGGCCTATGGAGCACAGGCATGTGCTCTCATTATTGGAGCTTAGGGTATCCACCCCTCTTGCTGGCAAAGGCAGGTGCTCTGGACCAGTTTTTGAGGTACTAGAAGGCTTCCAAAATGGGTTTAATGTAGGGCTGGGCTCTGTTCCCCTTCTTGACACCTTTTTACCTCTAAATTATTACAAATCTACAGCTCATTATACCTTTGTCTGTGCTAAATATGATTCAGAAGTAGCTCTCTCACACATTTCTCCTGGTTTTGATCCTTTGTTTCTCATCTTGATCATTGGACCTATTTGCTCTTCCCCTCTCAATGTCATTGAAAGTGCAGGTGGCAAACTCTGTATCACTGTTGATTAATTCTTCCCTCAAAATGACCCTTCTCACCCATCCCTCAATTTATATGTTGACATGTCCTCTTTCCATTGTGACTGGGGCACATTCTCAGCCTGCTACCTTCTGTTTACAGATGCTCTGCCAGGTACAGAGGTCACTGTATTCAATGTTGATGCTGCCTTCTGCAACATTTCAACTTGACCAGAGGACCGGTACTTGCTGGCTGTGGTCATTGACAACCTTGCATACCTGGACCTGCAGCTTAACTTCAGTGGGGCCACTTCCCTAGGAGTGTTTGGAAGGGTGGCAGATACCCTTGTACAAATCTACCTTGCACACAGGATTGATGCAGTATTATAATAGGTTGATAATTTTATTTTTTTTCTGCTATCCTCAACATACCCTAGATAATGGCATGCACATCTTTGCCTATGATAAAACCCTAATCTGGTCAATTGCTGATGATCTTGACTGGCTATGGGTGCCCAAAAAATTTCAACTGTTCTGCCAATTCTTTGTTTACATTGGCTTCTTGTGGTCCTTACCTGACTGGTGTGTTTCACTACCTGAGAAGAAATAATTCAAATACCTCACAAAGCTTAAGCTATGGGTGCCCAGGGCTCTCCTCTCCCTAGCTGAGACAGATTTGATTATTGGAACATCAAACTATGTTTGCCTTGTGGTTTCCTCAGGCAGATCCCATCTCCCAGCACTATATCACTTCCATCAAGACTTCATATACACTGCCTGCCTGTGGACTCAACACTGGGTACTCCACTCAGTTCTCAATAAAATTGTGTGGTGGCATACTATGCTTAGTGCCAAATGTATCCTTTCCATTGTCACACCCCCCTGCCATGTAATCACTCTATCTTTGTTAATGCCTTGACTTCATGGGGTATTGGCTTTATCCTTCAATGACCATTGGCTAACATGGTCTCTCAAAGCAGATTGGTAGGGTAATGGCAGAAACATCAGCTGAGCTGAGATGGCAGCTGTTGATCTCACAATTTGAGCTTGCATTGCCTTTGGCAATGGGACACTCACATTGTCATTCATTCTGACAATGCAGGGGTGGGTGGGTGCTCTAAAGACAGGTTGTTCCTGAGGCACTGAGCAGAATGTGATCTTGCACCACATTGTGGACACATTTCAGGCCAATAGACTATGGGTTTCACTTGAGTGGGTATCTACCCATGACAACCCAGCTGATGCTCCTTCCCCATAGGGTTCTACCTTCTTCAAAGAGCCTGTTTCCATTCCCACCCCAAGTAACTGCTTTATAAGCATCTGGAATGCATCTGGAAGTTTCCAGATGTCACACTACATATTAGCCATGGTGATGCTACTAAATATGGTTGCAATTGGTGGCAAATGATGTCTTCAAATTCTATCTTTTTGATGCTATTTTGTGATGTCATCAGAGAATTTCATACTCCGTTATTGCCATGGAGGTGTTAGCCCCCCTTTTTTTCGCTTTGCCACACCATTGCACATCTCAATGCATCACACAAAAAGCCTTCCTACCAAGCCCACCAGTGGTGATGAAAATACTGACCCATTTCTCAGGGGTAGCCACAGCACTGTTCTTCCTTTTCTTCGGCATTGCTGTCAAGATAGGTAGATGCATATGCAGCTGGCAAGGCAGAAATGGGCAACAACACGGCTAGAGGGACTTGAGGCCGGCGTGCATGCAATGTGGTGGAATTTTATTTCAAATCTAGAATACAAAGTGTTATAGTTTACAAAAATCTGGATATATGATCTTCAGATTTTTTGACCATCATATCACACATCTAGATCTTTCTAAACTCGTTCCAGATCCTTATGGAAAGTCACCCATTGACAAAAATACTGGTTGTGATTCAGTTGGTGTGCATTGTTAACGTTACGAGTCTAATTCTATAATTACATTGGTCTGTCGAAGCTCTTTTCGAAAGTGTCCTTAGCTACGTTTGTAGCGTAGGTAGATATCATATATAGTAACATATACAAGCGCCCCATTGACTCAAAAGCGCCACCGCTTTCGGGACTGATCACGTGCATTCGGCTTTATCATCGGAAAGGGCGACTCACGGCTTGGCCTCGACCACTACTTGCCCATCGATCGACAGGGACTTGACACGACAAACAGGATGCCACAAGAGTATACAATTTCGGATGAGGAAGAGGAGGATTACTATATCGATTCAGACGATGAGGACATGATAGACGGAACGCAGTACGGTTAGTCAGACGAGCATGTTGTATGAAAGTGTGTGGCTGAAATAAGGGATGCTCGTAGACGACGAGGATGACGTGGACATGGATGAGGACGCCTTTGGAGACGATTTCAGGATCGCGCCCAAGAGCAAGCGCAAGCCGTACGAGATTGATTATGAATCACTGAGCCAGGGCGCGGTGGAGGCCTCAATGGCGGAGCACGTCGAGCACATATGCGGAATCTTTGGCGTTGATGCCGGCACTGCTGCGCTGCTCTTGCGTTACATGTCGTGGAACAAAGAGCGCCTAATCGAGAAGTACATGGACAACCCAAACAAAGTGCTCGTCTCTGCCGGCATCGCCGTCGACGAGCCCCCAGCTTCTGCGTCAGCGGCACCGGTGAGAGGCGGAACTGCCTCCAGGAGACCCACGCGATCTAGCAGTAAGCTTGTGCCCCCGCCGAAATCATCACCAAAGATCCCAACAAAGTCGAAACCGACGATGCCGTTTACATGCCCGATCTGCTTCGACGACGCCCCCGATCTGCACCCACTCGCGTTAATATGCGACCATGCCTTCTGCTCGGGATGCTGGGCCGCGTATCTCTCCTCCAAGGTTAACGACGAGGCTGAACACGCAGTGCGCTGCATGGCCGAGGGTTGTGCCCTCGTGGCACCGGACGACTTTATCCGTTCTGCCCTTGAAGAGGACACCACTACCTGGGCACGCTTCCAAGAGCTGCTCGTACGTCACTTTGTAGGCTCGAACCCGAATCTTAAGTACTGCCCATACCCATCATGCACCAATACGGTCTCGTGCCCTTCCGCGGCTGGAAAGTCGAGTCTGACGACCGTTGTGCCAATCGTGTCGTGCGGGGCTCGTGGGATCCCTCAAGTTTTGTCTCAACCATCTCAATCGCAGTCTCAGCGGGACAAGGAGAAGGAAAGCGGAAAGGAACACAAATTCTGCTTTGGGTGTCCCGTAGAGAGTGACCATCGTCCCATTGTATGTGCTGTCGCGAAGATGTGGCTCAAGAAGTGTCGAGATGACAGCGAGACTGCAAACTGGATTAAAAGCAACACGAAAGAGTGCCCGAAGTGCCAGAGCACGATTGAGAAGAACGGAGGGTGCAAGTGAGTTAAGATCTCTTACTACGCATTTACAGAGTATGTATGACCGTCCTTACAGCCATATGACATGTAAGAAATGCAAACACGAGTTTTGTTGGGTGTGCATGGGCCCATGGCAGGAGCACGGTACAGCGTGGTACAATTGCAATCGCTTCGATGAGAAGGGTGGCCTCGAAGCGCGAGACGCACAGAGCAGGAGTCGCGCGAGTCTCGAGCGGTACCTACACGTATGTTTTTCTTTCATTATTCAATCATCCGGTCTATTAACATCTTTCGCAGTACTACAACCGCTGGGCGAACCACGAGCAATCCGCCAAACTCTCCGTCGAACTGTACGCCAAGACCGAGAAGAAGATGGAGGACATGCAGCTCACTTCTTCGCTCACATGGATTGAGGTCCAGTTCATGCGCACCGCAGTTGAAGTCCTCAATACGTGTCGCGCAACTCTGAAATGGACATACGCGATGGCGTATTATCTGGGGAGGGGCAACGAGAAGGAGATGTTCGAGGATAATCAGAGGGATCTGGAGAGGGCTGTGGAAGATCTCAATGAGCTCTTGGAAAGCCCGATTGAGCCTGAGAATATACCTACTTTGAGGCAGAAGGTCACGGATAAGACGGTGCGTTATGTTTTGCTTTGATCTATTTCTTGGAATCCTTGAATTTGAACTGATGTGTCATCGTAGGTATACGTTCAGAAGAGGAATGAAATTGTGCTGGAGGACACGGCCACAGGTTTCATTGAAGGAAGGTGGAAGTGGAACGTGGCCGTGGATGGCTTCGATGCACCAGAGAAGAGCGAGTTCGAATGAGAAGTCCGCCTTATTTCTTCTGTGTTTGATTCTTCTTGTGGAATGGCTACCACATCTGACTCATATTTTTCACTCAGTTCCACTCACTGGTTTGTCACCCCTACCTACTTATCATCAATGGACATACATAGGTTCCGTCATGCTCTCTGTCATGCTAGCAATATGATGTCCTTGCCCTTCTCTAAGGCGTGCGAGTCCTCGTGGCGCTTGAGGGACTACCATAAATTGGTCTTCTATAATTCATAGTAGATAGGATGCGAAAGACTGTGCAATGGAGGCAGTCTGCCGGATATGTTCAATTATCTCCAAAATTAATTCCTCGCTTGTAGAATCTATGGACAAAGAAATACTAGATTGGACACACCCGGAATTGAACCGGGGACCGCCCGCAGACATCATCGGATGATGCTAAGCGGGCGTGATAACCAATTACACCATGTGCCCATGCCATCAAAATACACGCCTTTTAGAGATTCCAGATCTGCCAGTCTCGCCAGACACCGCTGAGCAAAGTCTGTCGAAACGAATTCGGTTCCTTTGAGGCAACAAATCGGAATTGATATAAAGCGCCACAATTTTCCATTCAAAATCACCATTCAGGGACATAGACAACACTTAGCGGTGTACCTGTGGCGCTGTGATGCTCATATTAGAGCCTGAAGTGGGACACATCTCCGGTCAAGCGGGATTTTTTGATCTAGCCGACGCAAGCGAGAAACGCACGCCCAGTTAATCTTATTCGAAGTTAAAGCTAACGCGACAGATCACGCTGGGCCAAGCCACCATGCATACAAAAGAAACTCGGACCCGAGCTGCAGACTAAGGACTGCATTGTCCACGAGAAAGTAGCAACACTTTTATCAGACTAGACCTCAAACGCAATGAAAGGGGTGCGGTGCCATGTGCAACTATGCTTATGGAAATTAAGGAGAACTATGATTGCATTTATGTAGTTACTTGGCTTCCGTAGCCAGAGCATTAGCTGTCAGTGTACAAGCAAGCACAAAAGCGCTCACTTCAAAAGTAGGCGGATGGTATTCAATTTCTTAGGAGATAGATGGACCGTGTGTCCTATGCTAAGAGCCCTCATTCTGAGTCGGACATCAAAATTGTGGCCCATGAGTGGCAATGTATACTGCCCAAGACGAATGAATTAGTACACCCCTTATCCTGAGTTAGGCCCAGGGACCGCTAACGACTTTCCAGGAGAACCAGGGAAAAGTTCTGTGCGCCGTGTGGAATATCGAAAATGAAATACTGCGAAGGTGGGCGAGGCTTCACCTGATAGCAGTGGGAGTGTTAACTTTGGGAAATGGTGGTAAATCTACATATTTTCATGTGTATCTGAGCAATCCTCGGCTGGCGTGTCCCCAGTAGCTCCTGGCCCAATGTTTTCAGAAGGGGAAACAACACCAAAAATAGGACTGCTGTTATTCTTGACCAGGCGACGAATAACTTTGGCATCACAATCATCATGTCAGGGCTCGGGGGGCTCAGGATCAAGAGAAATTGACTGGTGCCCGTTCATGGTCGAGATGCACATGTAGAAGTGATGGATCAAAGAATATGTCTTTATGACAGTGTCTTCCACGTGTATATTGGTGGGTGCTGAGGCTCCAGACGTCGCGATAATCCGCTGAAGTTCAATACATATATTCACTAGACGTGAAGAGATTCGCTTTGATAAATGAGGATTATATCTCTTGTCTTGATCTTGACTTCCGAGGCAATACAGACAGCTCGTGATAGCTGACACGCCCGCTATTAATAGCAGTTGATAGTCCAATGGATGGGCGTGCCCATGATGGAGGAACTTAAGTCGTTCTTGACAATATGTCGGTGCATATGGAAAGCTGTAGCAAGTAGTCGAGACTCACAAGGCGCGCGAATTTGCGAAAGCAACTATGTACTTGGACATGATGGTTGCCCATTGAAGGCTTGGATCACCCCGCTCTTACCCGCAGAAGTAGTATCAATACGTTTTGATGATATGACATACCGACTTTTGAGAGGTATTTCGCCCATTGGAGAGCGGCAATTTCTTAGCGCTTAGCGCCCATTGTCGTGTGAGCTTATGTTCGTATGAAGCCCCAGAGGACAGAAATAGCAACACGGTCGTCTGGAGAGTGAGAAGGCCACGTTCGCGCACAGCCCTGCCGGAGTAAGAAGACAAGTCATCTGAGTGATGCAGGGTCGTCAAGTACCTAAGAATACACACAGTTCGGTGCTTGTCGTGCCTTGATGCGACTTATGTGGTCCTTCAAGCCTCAGAGTACATAACACCCGCAGGCGGTGCACAAAGCCCACAGATACCCCAAATCTCTCCCTGCTGTTCAGCCTGGCGCCACAGCAGAACAGCAACAATGTCGGCAGATGCCTCGACTTCCAGGCGCATGCTTCGGCGCGCTGGGAACCTGCTTACGAGCACTGGCCAACCAGTGCACAAGGAACTCAGTGATTCACCGTCAACAGACACGACGTTGGTGAATATAGCCCAGAAGGTCAAGCTCAGCACGTCCATTAAGCGCAAGTTCAAGGAGGCGACGTTATTGGGGCGCTCCAAGTCGGTGAAGGAGAAGGAGAAGCAGGGAAAACTGAGTGGAGAGCTTGAGACCAAGACGCGCCCAAGACATGCAAGATCAATGTCGACAACAGCGATGATCACGACTCCGACGTCAACTCCGACAATGGCGAGCGTGTTGCACTCGACCACTTTGCCACCGTTGCCAACGACAGGAGAAGCTGCTGAGACGGCGACGACCACTGTCGACTCGACGACGACGACGACTGCTGCTGTGGCCTCGATGGCCCCTCTTTCTGGCGCCTCTGCTTCACGTCGGTTCTCTACGCCTGTCCTCTCTCTCCCAACGAGGTCAATGGACGACGGGGGAGAATTGACTGTCCCAAAGCTGTTACAACAAGGAACGTCAATGACCAAGGTGTCGAGCAAGAAAAACCGACGCTCTATCTTTCGTCTCGACCCTGATATAGGTCAAATCATCTGGGAAGGGAAACAGCAGCGTATCAGTACGTCAAGGCTTTACTTTTGTTATTTTGTTCACCAAGGTCTTTACAGTACCTATTGAGAACATCAAGGAACTGCGGTCGGGCGCCGATGCGCGTTACTACCGCGAGCAGTTCCAGCTCGCAGCAGAGTACGAGGACCGGTGGCTCACAATCGTATATATTCTTGACGGCGCGTACAAGACACTGCACCTCATAGCGGCGACGCGTGACGTCTTCAGGATGTGGGATACGACCCTCCGCCGTCTGCACGCGATACGGAAGGAACTCATGAGTGGCCTCGGGAACATTGAGATGCGCCAGGCAATATGGGAAAAGCATTACTGGAAGGGTGCGGATGAGGAACAAGACCAGAAATTGGGGTTCGACGAGGTCGAGAAGCTGTGCAGGAGACTCAATATCAATTCCAGTCCCAGCGAGCTACAAAGGTTATTCAAGGTAAGCGATTCATACTTCCATATATTCTTAATTAACCCCTCTTGCAGCAAGCGGATGTTCAACAGCGCAACTACCTTGACTTCGAGGACTTTCGTCGATTTGTCAAGCTTCTCAAAGGTCGTCCAGAGATTGACCGCCTTTACAACAAGCTTCGCGCCCGCGGTGGTGGCTTCTTTGACTTTACCGTCTTCGAAGGCTTCATGCGCGAGAAACAAGAGGTATGCCCTAAATTTCAGACCCTAAGCTTAGCCTCATATTTTTTACAAGTCCAGTCTGAGTTTTGTAGAGCTCCAGAACATCTTCGAGCGGCATTCCGAGGGCCACCACGGCACAGTGACGTCGACAGCGCCTTCGACGTCGGCGCTTACATCAATGTTGACTTCAACTTCAGTTCCAGCCAGGGTTATGTCAAAAGACGCGTTTACTGCGTTCCTTATGTCCCCTGACAACGCGGCATTCGCGGACCAGCATGGGGTTGTCTATCACGACATGACACGCCCGCTGTCAGACTATTATGTGTCATCGTCGCACAACACATATCTTGTGGGTCACCAGCTCGTTGGCGTGAGCACAATAGAGGGGTATATTCGGGCGCTTTTGCACAGTTGTCGGAGCGTCGAGCGTGCGTGTATTGTCAGACCTCGTGTTCAAACATTTAACGCCTCCTTTTAGTTGACATATTCGATGGTGACAATTCCTCCGAACCGCAGATCACTCATGGCAAGACCTTTACCTCCAAAGTCTCCCTCCGGGAAGTATGTCACGCTATTGTCAAGTACGGCTTTGTCGCGTCACCCTATCCTATTATCATCTCTGCCGAGATCCACTGTTCACTCGCAGGCCAAGATGCCATTGCCGACATCATGTCCGAGGTGTTTGGTGAGAAGCTTGTCCAGAGTACGGACACACATGAGATACGGCTGGAGAAGCTGCCGAGCCCTGAAGAACTGAAAGGGCGGATACTGCTTAAGGTAATTTGATGCTTGTTTGGTACTGCGATGCGAAGATTGATATCCTTGTATAGGCAAAGAATCTCTACTTAGCAAGCAAAAAGGATTCGGCAGGAGCTGGAATACTTGGAGAGGGCGAATATGGGCTAACGGAGACGTCGGCTTCAGCTTCGTCCTCAACGTCTGACTCGGATGCGGTATTCGAAAAGCAGAGAAAGAAATCTGGAACGCGAAGACGGGAGTCTGACACTCAGTCCGCAGTGAAAGGTGGTTCTTTCTTCAACTTTTGGCATCTGCTGGGACGTCATTGTTGACCTTTGGGTTCAGAACTCAAGGATGACCTCATGAAGGCAGGTTCGACGGTCCTACAACGTGTGAGAAGCGTTGGAAAGTCGTCATCGCCCCGCGCAACTTCTGGCTTGAGCTTGTCGGCACCACAGCAGCATACACATTCTCGTTCGTCTCTATCCCTACCAACGAATACTTCCTCTGGACCCCCCTCATCCTACTTCCCCCCGCGTGGCGTCACCTTGGCTCCTACGCCGATACATCAATCCTCCTCCTTTAATCGCAGCCCTCCGACATCTACTCCCATACTGACCGCTTCGCCCCCAATTATGAGCCCTCTCCACACTTCATTATCTACACCCCTCGTCCCCTCTGTTACATCGCCTTCGGCCGTTTCTAGCCCCATACCCATACCCATTCCTCCCTCGCCGTCACCGACGCCAGCTAAACCAAAGATGTCAGCGCGACTCCTTGCACTCCTTGTGTACACCGTGGGCGTTAAATGTCGGGGAATCAACAAAAAGGAGGTTTATGCCCCCGAGCATATGTTTTCCCTCTCTGAGAATACTGCTAATCGTATGATCAAGGGTGGAGGCATGCCAGACCTTATCAAACATTGCCGGACGCACTTGGTGAGGATTTATCCTAAGGGCATGAGGGTGGCTTCGACAAATTACGAGCCACATCGGTATTGGAGTGCTGGAACTCAGCTGGTAGCGATTAATTGGCAGACATTTGGTGTGT